CCTTTAAAATAATGGGTTCATTTCAGTAAGGTCACTGCTCCAAAAAATGAGGTGAAGTACATGAATATAAAACAAGACAGACAAAGTTATGAGATTGGCAGCCCACACTCTCTGGAGCTGAAGCCCCAATTACAGTTTTTGCCAGCCTTCTTACAATTCTCTAACATAAAAGAGAAATAAAGGAATGTGACTGAAGATTAAGATTAGTGATGACATTATTGTTTAACTCTCCAAGGAGTTATACATTTTCCTTCCTAGCCTTTATGTTTTGCTTCAACATGTCTTACCAAAGCATCTGTTGCTGTCCCAGAACAATTCCACTGGGACTAAGTTTTCATTTCCTCTTGCACAATACTTTTGCAAGATTTCCTCCAGAACAGTCACGTAGACTAGCACAGTTCAAAAATCACTGGAGTTTTAAGAGGTTATACAGTGTAAGGTAAACTATTAAATGTATTTCAAATTTCCTCTTTAATAAGTGTTGCTGAAAAAAAAATGGCTTCCAAACTACAAAAAATAAAAACACCTCAAATTAAACCCATGCCTTTCATTATGCTCTAAACTAAAATGAAAATAGATCAAAGATATAATTATTGAAAAAGAAACACTTGGGGCTGGAGAGATGGCTCAGTGGTCTAAAGCACCTACTTAGAACAAGCTTGGCAAGGCATCGGGGACCACGGTTCAATCCCCCAGCACCACATGCCAGCCAGCCCCGCCCCCTGGTGGGCTGAGCTGGTCTCTCTCTCTCTCTCTCTCTCTCTCTCTCTCTCTCAAATAAATAAATAAATAAAAATTAAAAAAAAATGAAAAAAGAAAAAGAAACACTAAATGTGTTGGAACATAGAATAGGTAGAACTCTTTGGAATATTGGAGTAAGCAAAGACAGCCTGAACTTTGCTGGAATTAAAGGTGCAGTTATGATAGGATAATCCACTAATCCAGCTTCCTTGTAGGAGGAATCATCATGGATATGGGCTCTGTCTGCCCACTATATCTACCAACGACACATTTTTTTCATTTTGACTTTTGACTTTTTGTTTTTATTTGACTTCCATTTTTTGTTATTTATTTATTTATTATATTATTTTTTTTTTGGCTGAACTGAGGATTGAACTCAGGCCCTTGCATTTGCCAAGGAAGCACTTATTCCACTGAGCCATCTCCTTGGCTCCTTTTATTTGCCTTCTTTACTTTGATAGTTCTTGCTTTTATATTAGTGTGAGTATTGTCTACAGATTTTCTTGTTATTACAATCTTGTTATTACAATTTTGTTCTTTTTATGACTTCTCTGTTTCTTTGCTGTCTTCACCAGTGTCCTGGAGTTTGTATAACTTTGCTTTGTCTCAATTGTTTGCTTTTGATCTCTTCTTTTTTTATTTCTCTATGTGGCTCCTAATCTTTTAAATTTTCTCCCTTCTTGGTAAAATCAACAAATATTTTTGATACAGGGTTTTGCTATGTAGTCCAGTCTGGCTTTGAACAACTTGTGATCCTCATACACCTGTCTCTTGAGTGCTGGAATTAGAGGCATGCGTCTCCATGTCTGATAAATTTGCCATATCGATGCATATTTATTGTTTACAACTTTATGGATAGTTCCAGATTTTATTATAGAAACAGAAACCTCATTCATATAGTTAAAGTTAGCCAATTAGTAGTTACCACAGTTCGTCATTTTCTAGGTTGTGTTTGATGCTTTTGTTAGTGTTGTTTGTACAATTTTATCCAAGTTGACAAAATTGTCTCAAACATCTGTTCTTCCTAAATTGTTAAGATTGGGATTACCTAAAGGTAATACACAATGTTATAGGCCAATGCCAAAGAACTAGGGGTTGGGCCAAGAGAACAGCAATTTATCCCCAATAAAATGAAGAGGTAGGCTTATGAAATAGACTCAAAACCCAAAATGATCTACAACTGGAAGACATTTCTGAGAAGTAATCCTTAACTAGATGTGCTACTTACTAGCAATAAAGCAATCAGCCATAAGCAATTTACAATCACCAAATGATGAATTAAACATTATGTCATTGAAAATGAGAGACACCTAAGCAAGGTTTAAGGGCTGGCCAAATATCTCAGCTGAGTAAAGCACCTGCTTAGGCGGACGTAGTGGCCAGGGTTCAATCCCTGCTGTGCAGTGCCAGCCCCAGCCCTGGAGCGTGTGCAGAGATGGGCGATTGAGACTGGAAGTGGTGGTGCAGGTCTGTAATCTCAGCTCTTGGGAGGGTGAACACAAGCAGATCACTATGAGTCTGATCTATGTGGTGGGACCCTATAGATCCTGTACTAAATTTTAAAAAAAGCAAGGTTTAATGATTGGCTTGCAGCTCACCAAAGACAAACCTGGGAAACTAAGGTTGAATAAACCAAAAGCCAACAACCTGTACCTTCTGAAGTGGTAACAGTGGAAATAACAAAGTAGATCCATGAGGATACTGAAAAAAAAAGTCTAATCAGAAATAACATCTCAGATTACAAAGATTATGACTACAATAAAGTAAAAATATGAAATTACAATAAAATTTACTGAAATCTATAATCATTAACAAATCACATGAAAAATTGTGCTAAACATAATAAAAATTCTAGAAAAGCTGGACAAAACCAAAAGGACATGAATTACAAAAATTTAATGATGGAGATATAAAAATTCTGAGCTAGTCAACAATAGGCAATATAATTGAGACCTTAAGGAAAACAAAGCTACATACTAGGAAAACCTACGTATCTGATGGATTCACTGCTGAATTTTTCAAAAAGCTTTAGGTTGGGCATAATGTCAACCTTCACCAAAATGTTTAATGAAATTTAAAGAGAAGCTATATTTCCATAGTCATTCCTGAAAATTAGTACTAATTCCAAAAAAACAGGCATGGACCCAAATTAAAAACAGAGATACAGAACAAACTTTATAACTGAACACAAATCCAAAAATCTACAATAAATCCTGGCAAACAGAATGCAACAAATCAATGAAAATATCATACATTATGACAAAATAGGGTTTACTCTTTGAATTCAAGTATGGATTAACAGATACAATTCAATACATTTAAGACATCACATGAAGAGAAACAAGGGCAAAGTGTGGCCTTCTCGACCAATGGAGTAAAGCCTTTAGGAAAAGACCCTACCTTTCTGAGGATGACCAACATCAAGGACCTGCCCCATACATTCCTTGGGCATACTCAGAATAAACACAAAATTTGTAATTGTGTCTGGGAATTTTGAATTAGGGAAAACTTTTCAGATACACAACACCAAAGACTTTGCTATCATCGGTGCCATGGGAGAGCTAATCATCTGTATCCTGTAGAGAGATGAGGTCACAGAATCATACACACATCTCAGTGTCTTGATTTCTCCCAACCATATATACAAAAACCAACATAACTATCCCCTGTGTTTACCATGCTGGTATCTGGAATATCTCAGGTGAGTGATTCCTCTTTCATCCTGAGAGCAGTTTGCAAAGGAGCAAAAGCAACAGGTTCTAGAAACTGTTGCTGTCTGGAGATGGCTTTCTGCTTGAGATGAGGCTGATCAGCACCAAAGCCACATGCAGCAAAGTGGTCCTGAGCAGTGAGCAACGTGTGTGAGCAGAATCTAGGATCATGACCATAGGCTGAGACCCATTGACTGCTGATGCTCCAACGTAACCATCCCTGCTCAAGGCCACTTGACCTTGGTAAGAGCAGAAATGGAACCTGAATTTCATGTTACTGGAACTTCTAATTTGAGAAAGTGTCTTTTTGAATTCACAAAATATGAGTATTTTATATGATCACATAATTCTGATTGCCTTCCAATGTATACAATAAAATTGAATATACTATTCAATTTTCTGTGCAAAAATTCAAATAATAATTCTAGCTATAATACTATCACTGAGTTTGGTGGCCTTAGCTTAGTAAATATGTTTGTTCTGTAGAAATGATATAGAGTTTATGAAATGTTACTATGTTTTTATGTTGGTATGCAATACTTTCTCCTGACTTTTCAAAAACAAAAAAAAAATTACAGATAGTAAAAACTTTGGCATTTATTTGGGACAATGTATAAGACTTTCTTTGATTAAACTTTTACTAATGCCATTCATCTCTTCCATATCAAGATATCTCTGTGTAATTCTTTGATGCCCATGATCATTCACATACTTGTCTTATATTTTCATGTTTTACAAATTACATGATAAGTAAAATTGCATTTATTTTTATAAAACAGTGCAGGAAAAGAATGTTTTCTGAAGGGGACTAATTAAATTTGTTCTATAACGTCTTATTACTCTTTCCTTAGAATCTCAAACACAGAGAAAAAAAACAAACATTGCTCTAAAAATGGTGTATTTGTATTTTAAGTATGGAATAATATGGCTACTTCTATTCCTATTGAAATTCTTAAGTACATGGAATAAATTAAACTCAGATATGATAAATATGCACCATTTGTGAATATTTATAGCACATCTCAATATTCAGTCACTACTCTTCCAAACAACTAAGCAGTACAATAACATTTCTAAGCAAACTTAAAAATAAAATGCTTTGAATTAGTGTTTAGAATTATAAACATATATTTTCTATTACTGAAGAATACAGGAGAACTAGGGTAGTGTTGTTGTCTGCAGCACCTTATATCTTTAATGGTATGAAGTAAAGTCAATGTTTCAAGTAAGTGTCTCTAGTTCAAAGCCAGTAATACCAAACTGAGTTGGTTTACTCACTATGGCTATAACCTTCTCCAAGTTAAAAGAAGGCTGTTTTGAAGGTTAACTTATGCAACATATGATTGACAGTGGCTTCTACATTGTACATGCTCTATAAGTAAACACAGAAAGCTTGAGAAATATATGAAAAAGAAAATATAAATCAGAAGCAGTTATAATAAAAATGAAAATTTACAATTTAACTCTTCATTAAAAAATTAACAACTTAAATGTTCCTGTAGAATTTGCTATTTAAAAGTACTAATATTGATCATAATAAGTGATAGAATGGCCTCAATGAATGTGTATATTGGAACAGCTTTCCTTGTTCAGATCATCACTGGATCTCTGGGAAATTTATTTATCTTAAATCAGAATTTATTCCATTACTTCAGAGGATACAGGCCACAGACCACAGATTTGATCCTTGGACACATGACTGTGGCAAACTTCCTGGTTATTCTACCAAGAGGAATTCCAGAGACCATGGCAGCTTTTGGGTTGGAAGACTTCCTCAGTGATCTTGAATGCAAATCCATCTTCTATATGCACAGGGTGGGCAGGGGTGTGTCCATGGGAAGTACCTGCCTTCTGAGTGTCTTTCAAGTCATTACTGTCAGCCCCAGAAGCTACAAATGGGCACAATTTAATTTAAAAGCTAAAGAATACATGATCACCTCTGTTGTCTTGTGCTGGCTCCTGCACATGCTGCTAAATATCATTTTTCCTGTGCAAGTGACAGCCAAATGGAAAAACAAAAACATCACAAATAAAATAGACTTTACATACTGTTCTGGTCAAGGATATGAGAAAATTTTATACTACATAACTGCCACACTGTTCTCCATCTGTGATGCTATATGTATATGTCTCATGCTCTGCGCCAGCTGCTCCATGCTTTTCATGCTATGCAAGCATAAGAAGCAGGTTCAGCACATCTATGGGATCAACGTTGGCTCCAGATCCTCTCCTGTGACCAGGGCAATCAACAGCGTCCTTGCCCTCACATGCACATATGTACATTTCTACACCATCAGCTGCATCATTCAAATGTGTCTGACTGTTTCCTATCATCCAAGCACCATATTGCTAACCAATGCTGCCTTGATTAATTCATGTTTTGCCACACTTTGTCCCTTTGTGCTCATGAGCTGTGAACATGACCTCTCCAAAATCTGGTGTTTACATTGTAGGAGCAAAAAGTCATCTAAACTCATCAGAATAAAAGGACAAATTGTTTGATAATTTACACAGTAATGAGTCATTAAGTTACTCAGTTATCACCATATTTCTCTAAAATGCAGAGGATTTGGATTTGATTCTTGAAGTAAAAAGCCATATACAGAAAGTTTGTGCCTCTTTTAATGAAATACACTTTCTTTCTTTTCTGTCTGCTTTCTGCCACAGGTCAGATTTCTTTTCTTTATTTTTCAAGACCTAAGCCATATCCTTGTTTATTACCTAGTACTTTAAAGACCTGTACATGAAAGGTTCATACACCAGCAACTGAATTCAATTACCATCTTATAAGAATCATGGAAGTATCAGAGCCCCAGTTACAAAACCTCAGCAAAACTTTCTTATATGGATATCATTGCTCTACTAAGAAGAATAATCACATCTTCCAAAAACAAAATCAATGGGGAATTTGAAATATGAGCTAAACAAAAATTGTGAAAGTGAACTTTAGAATTTCACAAGAATTCTAAATTGAAGGAGAAATTTTATGAGACGTCTAAATTCAAGGAAGTCCTTATGGGAAACTTCCTGTGTAACTCTTCATTTTCTTGGATTCAAATTAATAAAAATGAATTTCATATTGATCCTGAATTTTATTTATTTCCTTCTCATTCTTCTTGTGCTGCTATGTTTCACATCTTTGTGTAACTTGTCATTGTATAAATATATGATGTCCTTATCATCTTTTAAACACTATATTTGGTACTATTCATCTAAAGGTTGGCTAGGGTATTGCCTGTGGGCTGTGTGCTTCTGCCTACATGGATACATCCACAGATATGCTTTTATATGTGTTCTTTCTGTGCACATAAAGTGTTTAAATATGCATGTTGTCTTTTTAAGCGGTGTTCCATCTGTATGTCAACTGTTGTATTTCTCACCTTGAGTCCCCTGTAAACCTGAAAATCAACCTGTACACAGGAAATCCCATAAGATACTTGTCTTGAAAGAGAGACATGATCCTGCAAGGAGGCTGTGTCAAAGTTGGCTATTTTATAAAATACTTAAAACAGGCTTATTGTGCCAAAGCTTTTTACAGAATAAATGTGAAGAAGGAAAATGCTCTCTAGTGGCCTCAGAGAGACAATGAAGAAAAGGAACTGAACATGTGTCTTGACAGAGGCACACACCAAAGAAGGGAAAAGACAAAGAAGGGTAGAGGAAGAAAAGAGAGTGTGGACAGAGGGTCAGGAATGAAAAAAGATAAAAAGAAGATGGAAGTAGAGTATAGAGGGGAAGAGGGCAGAGAGAAGGGAGATGTGGGGCATGAAGTAAGAGCATGAGGAGGCAAAAGAGAATTACAGCCAGAGTTAGAGATTAGAAAAAAGATAACAGCCAAAATCACAGAGCAAATGGGGAATATGAGATGGAGAGATGAATGGCGACATGTCTGATGACCAGTGAAATGTTGGGTGAAGGTATTTGTGTTTCTGTCTATGTGTATATGTTCATTTTTCAAATATGGAGAGAGATGGAAAGGGAGGAAATTCAACTGAAGTTCAGAGAAGGGAAAATAAAAACATCAGGAAGGGAAAAATACTGACAGGCAAATAGAAAAGTGAGAAGAAAGCAAAAATGAATTTAAAAAATAAAATGGTATTTGCAAGTGAAACAGGGAAAAGTCCAAGGTAGAGGGCAACTGAAATCAAATGAGAGGATGGGCAATGGATATGTAAGGAAAGGAAAATTAATACAGTGAAGTGGAGTGTGGAGTAAAGTAGAGACCAGTGAAAAGAGATAGAGGGAGAAGAGGGAGAGATCAGAAATGAGGTGAGACAGAGGAGCAATAGTGAATATATTGGTTGTCAGTAGGTGCATCCAGGACAGAGATGTAAGGAAGGAATAGGAGTGCAGAGATTGGAAAAATAACAAGAGGAGATTATGCAGATTTCTCAAAAACTTAGGAGTAGAGGTCCCATTCCACCCAGATATTCCCTTCTATACTGTAGTATAATTTCAAGTCTATAATTATGATACCCCTATCTTGCCCTTGTTGCCCAAAATTTGACTTGCCATTTTATGTTTCCTTTGGTTCTAAATGAATTGTAACATTGTTTTTTCTAACTCTGGGAGAAATGAGGTTGAAATTTTGATAGGAGTAGCATAAATCTGTATACCAATATTGGAAATATGGCTATTTTCATTATGTGGTTCTTCCTACCCAAGAAGAGATGTCTTCCCATTTTCTGATATTCTCTTCTATCAACTTTTTGAATAGTACCATAGTAGTCTATGTAAATGGCTTTATCTTCTTTCCTGAGATTCGAACCTAGATATTTCATCTTTCAACATAATATTACGAAAAATGTTGCTTCTCATATTTTTTTCTCAGTGAGTTTTTTATTCATGTACAAGAAAGATTTTGATTTTTCAGTGTTGAATTTATATCACTGATGTTACTGAATTTGTATATTAAGTCTAGAAATGTTTTAGTGGCATTTCCGTGGTCCCTAATATAGAGTATCATGTCATCCATGAATAATGGTAATTCAACTTCTTTTCCTATCATTACTCCTTTCTCTCACCCAATTTCTCTGACCAATGTTTCCAGAACTATACTGAATAACAGTGGTGACAATGCATATCTTTGTCTTGTTCCTGATTTTAAAATTAAAATTTTCAGTGTTTTTACATTTAGTATGAGGTTAACTGTTGGTTATTCATGAATAATTTTCATCAGATAGTGATAAAGACTATCAATTCCAATTTTCCACTGATACACATGTCTTGTTTTTCTTTTGGTAGTACCATGCTGTTTTGCCATAATAAGTTTATAGTATAATTTCAAGTCTAGTGAAGTGTCACATTAAAGACCCTTGGATTTTCTCTTTTGCATATAACAATAAAGATTTCAATTATTCCCTAGGATGTCACTATTATGCATTTTATGTAGGTTATCTATACCTATTTCATATCTATACCTATCTATCTAGCTATCTGAAAGCTGCTGATTTTTACTACTTAGTGTGTTAATGGGTGTTTAATTGCTCCCAATACCTTTGTACTTTTTTGAGGCAATCTGGATAGCCAGTGTTCTTTCCAAATTTAAATTGTATACATCTCAGTGAACTTTCTCTTTAGTTTGTACAAAACTGTAGTTAGCTTTTAAAGGATTTTATTGTCCACTGGGGTATGGTAGCTTCACTTTCACATTTTCTTGGTCTCTGATCAAAGCACAGCTGATGGTGCAGTATAGAACACTGTAATGTAGTAATTAGGTTTGTGAAAAGAGCAACTTCTCACCGGTGCATAACATCTAGGGAACCACATTCCTCTCTCTCTCTCTCTCTCTCTCTCTCTCTCTCTCTCTCTCTCTCTCTCTGCCTCCTTCCCTCTCTCCCTCCCTCTCTTTCTTCAGGTGAAAGTCTGAATGTTGTTTGCTACCTTCATATGTGAGCCATCTGCCCAGGAATGACAGAATGTGACATTCTCACCACATACACCTCTGTGCTTTATTCTGAAACAAAAGATAAATTTTTGTTTGACATATGATCTTGTAATCTTTTTTACATTGAAGTCTTCCAAAATTGTAAGTATTCATATGACAAATATTTTGTCTGGAATTTATTCCTTAAGTCTCAAAAATCAACTCTAGAAGAGTTATGAATTTTTGGAAATGCTGTCTTATTTTCCTATGATTCTAGTCTTGTTATGTTTTATTTATTGTTGTTTCTCGTACTAAGCTTTGTAAATTTTATTTTGCCACATTTCCATTTTATTTAAATAACTACTTCAAATATATTACAATTTGAAATAATCATGTGCAATAATCAAGACTTCAAGGTGATCCAAATAAATATCCAAGTGTTCAATTGTGAATATTATCAAGGAACTAAAAGAAGATACAATAACAGATTAATGCATTAAGCAAACAGTGCAAAATAATGAAACATAAAATAGTATATGCTTCCAACATCACTCTATGAAACAAGCATGACTCTCGGGGGAAAAAGTGGATATAATTTCACAGAAAAAATAAAGTACGTGTTACTATTCCTGAAGATCATGGGTGCAAATATTCTTGCTAATAGTATAGTGAGAAAGCTCAGCAGTCTAAAGTGCCTGCTTAGGCAAACTTAGACATGTACAGGGGACCAGTTTAATCTCCAGCACCACAGGACGTGCCAGCCTTGTCCCCTAGTGTGGACTGAGCTGACCACAAAAATTTATACTTATATAATTTATGAATAATTCTAAATAATTGTAATAACTTATATTTTATAATTTATATATATATATATTTAGTAATATTCTTGCAAAAAAGCACTGAAGAAATTAATGAAAATCTAATATACAATGACCATGTAAGTTTAATCCCAATTTGAAATATCTTGGAAAAGGAATTTGGTAATTCCAGTAAATGCATTTATTAACAGCTTTCATTCAGGACTATTTTTCATATTATTTCATACAAACCATCTTAGGAAGATAAACATCATGTCCATCTACTGTACCAAGGTAACATTCATTGTCTCTTTAACTAGTAATTATTTTTCACTTGTGAAATTTCTAGCAAGATACTAATTCAGTCTCTGAAAATGCAAGAATATCTTAAAACTCAGCATTCCTAAAAAATGATTAGAACCCACTGCATTAAAGTATCTATAAGGAAGTCTGTATATCAGTGCTATCGAATTTTAGAAACAAATTTTTAATGTAAACATTACATTGATTTCAGAACCTAGGCACACTAAATCAATCAATCAATCAATCATTCAATCCATCAGTGCCCACATGCATAATAAGTACAATGCCTACCAGTCTATAAATCAGTGGCAAACTAAATGGATAGATTGCAAATTGTGTTGCTTTTGCATTCTTTACAATTGTTAAAACTTATTTATACTATCATTTTATAGTATGATGCTAGCATTTTTATGATGTTGAATCAAAAACCCCTTACAAGTGCCTTAGTAACAGCTTATGACGTCATAAGATGTAAATTTAAGAACGGTATACACACCCACATAAAAGTGATCGCATAAGCATCATCAAAAGAGATT